TGGAAGCCACAATCACCTTCCCCAGCAAGCTGCTTTGCACAAGACTTGCAGCTTGTGCAGGAAAAAATCTCCATGCAGCAAGAACTCCCAGGCCCACACAAGGATCCCATAGAGAGAAAATACCGTGTGCTCATGATCGTGCTTATCAAGATGAAGTAAAGAAAAGCCAGAAATCCCATGGGTTATGAAGTCGTACAACTAAAAATACTACAGGCTTTTGACACTTCAGAGAACCAATTTTCAACACATTTCTGCAGTCTGTCTGTGCTTGGTTATACAAGGAAAAGAGTTTTGTGCTGTTTCCTCAAAGGTAGGAGTGAGCATGAGTTTACAACAAAGAAGAGTTATCACCCATGGCCTGCTGCTCAACTGATGCACTCACACACTGCTGGCCCTTGGGAACACAGAACTCCTCAGATAGTTCTTCCTTGGTCAAGCCTTAACCTTAAAAATTTTCCTTAAAGTTGAGATTTTTCACATATGATAAAATACAGTTCATTCATTTTTGTAACTGACGTTGATTCTACTTAGTAAAAGTCAAACCAAGAAATATTGGAGAGATAAATTCTATTGCTGAATAAAACTGCCTTCCATTTTTTCCACTTTGATTTATCTGTAATCCCCATAAATTTATTAGCTCAACCTTCAACATGCATAAAATCTATTTTTGCATTATGAAAATGTAAAAAATATTCAGTTATATTCAGCCACTGAAAGAGTGTCCCTGCTATTGCTGTTGTTGAGGAATTTCAAAACTGCAACATTCAATCCTTTCTGCAATACTAAAATACACTAAAAAAGTATAGTTTCTAATCTTTGAAAAACATTGGACTCTCCACATTTTCAAAGCCTTCAATTCTGCCATTCAGGTCTTCAGAACATCCACAGGAACAATGAGTTAGTTATTTTTCAACAATGGAGAAATGGACAACTTCGGATGCATTTGAGTAATTATTTGAAGGATCAGTGGCCAAAACCGAAAATATATCCTTTAAAAATAGCAGCAATTGTTTTTCCATCTGAAAGAAAAATGAAAATATTGTTACATAAACAAGAAGCTTTAAGCTCAAAATGACCCAACAAGTGGGTGAATGTTGGAAAGCAAAACTTTTATGTGATATCTGAATTGTGCAGTTTCTACTCCAGCCTACTCTTCTTCTGTAACAAATATACCCCTGGTTTTAGACATTTCTACTTCTTGAAGAGGATAATTTTAAAAAAGGCTTTTATTCTAAGTAACTATGCTGCAATTATTTTAATTATTTTTTATTATTTAATTTTTTACTCCATTTATAGGCCATTATCAATAGCAATTGCATAGGAAAAATTTTTCTATGCATAAACAAAGTAAGCCTTATGGCAATAAGTGGTAACTTTAGGAATCTCTAAAAAATGGTTTTGTCTATACCTGTCAGAAAGCATAACCTCTTTTTAATGACAGAATTACCATAATTATTGAATTATTGAATATTGTCGTTACAGTCAACTCATGTAAACATGCCACTTTATACAAAAGAATTACATAAAGGCATTGAAATACACAAAATTCAAGCTCAGACCACAGAATCCTAGAATAATTCGGGTTGGATGCCACCTCAGCAGATTCTCTAGCTCAGCCTCCTGCTAGAAGCAGGCTCAGCCCTGAGTGCAGACCTGTCTGCCCACTGCTTCTTCAGCTGGCTGTTAAAAGCTTGCAAGAACAGAGGCCACAGCCTCTGGTAGCCCTTTCCCAGGTCTGATTGTCCTCATGGCAATATTTGTCCCCTTTAAATCAAGTGTCCTGGGTTGTAAGACAAGCATGTATTCTCTTGCCATCTGTTGGAGGTTGGGCAGCTTTCTTATCTCTTCCAAGTACAATGTCTCCCTCCGGGGAGATATCTTCTGTTAATGGGCCATTGAACAACTCACTGCATGACTGGTAAAGTTACATCATCCCATTGGGAGATGCTCCACCCAGAGGGAGGAGCCAAGCATCCCTACCTGAATAAAATCAGCATTTTTGGGACACCAGGGCAGCTGTTCGTTAGATTCCCAGAGGAAGACCAGGCTCAACTACTCCATCACCAGACCTTCAGAGAAAACTCCACCCTTCTAGAGATCACTGCTCCAGCAGCATTTCATCCACCACTCCAGGAGGAACAGCCACCATTTAACTGGACTTTTACCAACACCTTGACTCCTCAGGGTGTCAGGTTTCTGACTCTGTCACTAGTTTTGTTCGTAGTAATTACATTTTTAAAAAATTTTTATTTAGTTTTTTTTCCTAGTAAAGAACTGTTATTCCCATTCCCATATCTTTGCCAGAGAGCCTTTTAATTTTAAAATTATGGTAATTTGGAGGGAGGGGGTTTACCTTTTCCATTTCACAGGAGGCTTTTGCCTTCCTTCACAGACACCTGTCTTTTCAAACCAAGACATCAAGCCAGAAGCCTGCAGCACCCAGTGCTGGCTTCAGGGGTGAAGCCCTGCTGAGCTGCTGGGTCAGAAAGTTCCAGTGTGTTCAGGGGCATGAGGACACAACATGATGTGGAATGACTCATAAATTAGGTTGTCATCCTTGCACAGGACCTTGGTTTTAAAGGTGGTGATTAAATGTGAAAGTTGTTGAGTGAGAAGAAGAGAATCAAACAGAGATTTCTTTAGTAAGTATAATTCAAATCCAATCACTCAAACCCCATTGTAAACAAATGTTTCCAGCACTTTTTTCAGATATTCCCAATTAATTGATAAAGCTGCTCAGAATTCAAGTGTTTAACTGGGCAACTATAGGATCTAAAGATTCTGCTTCCTTTTGGAAATGCTCCCTCAAGCAGTGTCACCGTCCTACACAATAGAAATAAAACATTTCCTATTATGATTTGGCTGCAGAGCTCCAATGCTGTTTTACTGTCTCAGCAGTTTGAAACCCAACACACTACAAATAAGCCATTTATTTGTATTTGTGGTCTATTTATGGGTGGTTTTTTTTTGTTTGTTTGTGGTTTTGTTTTTTTTTATTGTTGTTCTGTTTCTCCTATGCATTAAATAAAAATAGTCCAAGAGTTTTGGTAAAGTCTCTTTCTAGAAGTTTCCTCCCTGTGCCAGAAACTGGCTGGCTATCACATTTTAAAGCCTTATACCACACAGAGCATTCAATGAACCTTTCTGAATAAATTCAGAGCTTGTGTGTAACAACAATTTGTGGTTGATGTTGCCATTAATAAATGTTTCTACAAGTCAGCATCCCTAAATACCATCTCCTTGCCTGGCACAGGAATAGGAAGACACCTAAGGGAGTTATGAGTCTTAACAGGCAAAGGCATTAATTCCAAATTACATAACGAGGCTAAATATCTTTGCTTCCCTTTATAAGCAGAGATCAGGATTTGCTGCTGTTAAACCAGAAATCAGGCTCTGCAGGCGTCCTGAATTACCTGCAGGACTCCTCCCTTTCCTCCACTGACAACAGAGCAGCACTCAGATGAGTCTCCTTTCCTTAAAGAAAAGCTCTCCAACACTATGAAACCAAATGCCCAATTTTTGGTTGTTTCCAGGGCAGCTAAAATGTGTCTTTTCGAGCTGGAATACATGGAAAGCAGCATTTAATGAATAGTCTTGCTGCTTGTGGTAGTTTAGCTCTGGAGATTTTTGATCTCTTAATACTCCCTTCCAATTAGTCTTGTGAAAAATGAACAAAATCAGGAATATACTTCAAAATATAGGATGAGTGTTGAACACTTGGTACAAATGAAACATAAATTTGCACCCCATTAGGGAAATTTCAATGCACAAACAGTCTAATCTTAAGAGCTATGTTTCTTCCATAACATTAATCTAACAGTGTTTTAATAGCTCAAAGCAGCACCTACACCAGGTTTCTCTAATTATCATTCAGAAGAAGCTTGCAAGCAATTAGTAGCTTTAAATTTCTTGGTGCCATCAGTAACCAGAAAATTAATCAGAGTTTTAACAGTAAAAGGGCTGTAAAGAATATATTGCTTTCTCTCTTGAAGGCAAACATTTTTACACTGGATTATTTTCAGAGGTTATTTTTAGTCTGGCTGGATAGTTAGCAGAGTTTTGGTGCTTGTGAGATTTCCATAAATCATGAAAGAAGGTGGCTTAATGATGCAGATGGCACAGGGTCATGGAATGCACACACTGCCTGCCTTAAAGAAGACATAAAACACGTTCCTCTCCCCATGGCATGCCTTGAAAACCTAAAAGAGTTTTTATCTTTGTTTTACTCGAAAGTCAGCCTAGTAATTCAAATTTCTGAATAGAGCTTGTGCCTTTTAAGAGGTGCCACCCTGAGCCCCATGTTAAATAGCTGTGTGCCTCTGGGGATGGTCATTTCAGTGAAAGGGTTGTGGTTGTCAGGGGGATAAGAGTGGACCTTCTTAAAGCCAAGCTGTCTGCCCCATTCAGGCTCAAGAGAAAGTGCAATCAAGCCCTTTATTGAGCTGCAGGTGATGATGGTGATTGCCTCAGATCTTATAATAAAGCCAGACAGACCCTAGTTCACAATTAAAGTGGCTGTAAAAGGTCTGGGTTGTAAAAGTGGGAGGAAGACAAAACCAGGAGTTGAAACAAGGTTTGTTGAGTGAAAAACTCTTAGGAGTGACACACATGAAGCTTTTTAGAATGCTTCTGTTGTGGTCTGGAGAGCAAAAAATTATCCACAGAGCAAAAGTGCATACAAGATTGTAACATAATATATGCAATTTTAATAGATTTCTTATGTTCTGTAAAACAAGAATGAAACCCACAAAGTTTCCTGGTAGGTTACATCACAGAGAATAGGAATGCCAAATTTTGAACTCCTGGAGGGGAGTCCCACACCTCCAGCTGCAGGACAGTCACTTCTTGGGAAATAGGGATGGACCTTGAGAATGAAACCTTCAATGCTTCAGTTTGAAATAGGCCTCATTTGATCAAGAGTAAATGGTTCCATCTAAGCTATTTATCTAAAATCACTTTGCAGCCAATGGGGAAGGAAAAAAAAAAAAAAAAAAAAAAAAGAGAAGGAGTGTGTTAAACTCAGTGCATCTCAACAAAACATGTGACTTTGACTCGAACCAGAGGTAGGATGCCTGTGACCAGTCTCCAGCTGGGTGAGAAGGGCTGTTGGAAGTAGATTGTATCAACAGCAAATTGTTAGATTTAACTGAAACACTGGAGCCCCCAAGATGCCTTCAGAGACAGAGAAGATGGAGTTAGAAGTAACTCCATGGACTGCAGAAAATTAGATCAGCAGTTTGGAGTGGATATGCATTAAATGGCTTTAAAAGGTAAATTAAATAACCCAGCCAGCCCTGGCTGTTTTGAACAGGACACTGTGAGCAGTCACACCCAGCATGGGGACACCAGTTACAAACATTCTCCACATTAAATCTTCCTGTACTCAGGCTGGACTCTCAGCCTGTTTGCTGACTGAATCAGGAGAGGAAACATAAAGCAGCTTGGACACAGACCCACATTCACCCCACAGGCAGGATGGATGGGATGGGGGCCCCCAGTTTGGCTGCCTGTTGGAAATCTCTAACACGAAACCAGTATTTACAAAATACTGAGTCTGAACATCAGCTTCCAGGGAGAGATGTCAGATTCCACATCCATTCATTAAACCACTGATACAAGATGAATACTTATCCAATTAACAGTCATTTTAGGCCAGAGTTGATGCTCTCAAAAGCAACAGAGAACTCAGAAAATGCACTTAAGAATTCTTCATTAATATCATGAGCTCTTAAAAGACTTCTGAAGCATACATCAAAAAATTAAGAATGCAAATACCTTTCAACAATTTTTTACCAAGATGTTTGAGTTAGCAATGGGTGAACTTTTGTTAGCAGTAACACCTGAAACCATTTCTGCTCTCTTCACCAAAAAGAGCTATCCCCTCGTCCATCTCCTTGTTTTGGCCAAGGTCAGCAGTGAGCTGCTGTTTTGGTGTTTCAGTCTGCAAAATAACAGAAAAGTCTTAATCTTTCATCCTTTTCTACAAGGATATTCTTCAGATGAACTCTGTCCTTTACCAGATGGAAATAGAATATATAAACAGAAATCATCTTGGCTGTGGAAAAGATACTGGTCTTTTTTGTTTAAGATTTCACAGTTTGGAATAAATTTCATCCACACCGGCCAAAATATTATAAAATTCTTATAACTAAGCTATTTCATTTGATATATTGTTTCCCAGTGCCCATTTGCTCTGCACCTGTATGCATTAAGAGGCTGAACTGCAATCTTGTGTCAATGGAGAAAAAGTGCTATTTCATTCCTGAGACAGAACATTCAAGTAACAAATGAAAAAAACAATGTACCATTGGACAGTATGTTCTTTAGCCATGCAAGAATATGGCAGCTATATTCATCGTTCTAAATTATAAGCTTCCTGTAGAATTTATATTTCTAGCTGAGCCCAAAACAAAAAAATCAACTAATTTTAAGTATTACTTTTAAGTATTTTAAAATGGAACATTTATTCTTTTAATCTTTTCCCCGACTACATCCCAAAACATTTAATGAATTTTTAAAATACATTTTATTATGGATGATTCCCTACTAATTAAGGGTATAGCACAGGCATTAGAGAATAGTGTTTCTTAAGAAGTACACTTCATTGTGTTCCTGCAATCGTACCATCAGTGGATACTGAAATAATGAACAGATTAAATAAACTAGTGACTGCTTATTTAGTTAATCTCCATTAAAATTTTACGCTGTTTTCCATGGGTTTTGTGTTTCTGTAAAGATGGGAACCCTGGGTAAAGGACTAGAGACTTAATTTTAGTTAGTTTTTTTTTTTTTTTCCCTGCAGTTTTAATTACTGATTTTTATTGAACCCCTTCAAATTCAACATGTGCTTAAAAGATTCTGAAAATCTGGCATTATTAGTTGCCTTTTAAAATAGGTCCTTTCAGAGTTTCTCCACCTCACAGGATAACATGCTGGGAAATTGGGGCTCATAACATCCATTTTTAACATTTTCTTCCCTTTCATTGGAGGGAAGCTCTGACTGCTTCTGTCCTAAGAAACTTTTATGTTGGTTTATTAATCTTTCATTTACAAATGGTGCCTAAAGGTCTTTGTTGATGCCTCAAACTTCCAGGGCATATACAAAGTCTCAGAGACCAGTTCCCAGAAACTTTGACAGGGAATATGGTAACAGTAATTAGTAGCCAAAAGCCAGACTAATCAGCAATAATGATTTCCAGATGAGGATGGATGATCCACCAGCACCATCACCTCGTGTCCTACAGTCACAGAGCAGGACAGAAATGTTCAGCATCTGTTACCAGCTATGGCTCTTTCCTAATTCTGGAAGAGCTGATTACCTTCACCAGCTGTGCCCTGGACAGAGAGGAGTCTGAGGCTCCTAAATTCCTTGATCAGCTTACACATAATAAATTCAGGGATAGTTCTAAGAAAGTATTTGGATGACACTAACATTTCAAGTATTCCAATAGTTGGGTTTTTTCTTTTAAAAAATATTATGGAGAAATTGGCAATATAAATCTCAGTGTATCATTGTCTAAAACAGCACCAAAGAGAAGGAATATATTTTAAGGAAAAATTACATAATCCAAGCACACAGGGAAGGAGAGAAGAAATAATTTAGCCCCCAACAGACCCCAGCAGTGAACCAGATTTGAGTTTGCAGGACTGATGGATAGCAGACCATCCAGTCCTTGACTTACTACTTTTTTACTACTTTTTCTTCAGAATTGTCACCATCCCAGTGACATGAATTGCACAGAGGCCATTCCAGCTGCAGAGCACTTGGCTGCACGAAGGTTGGTTCCCCACCACAACACACTCCCAGCCCTGGAAGACAGCTGGTGGATTTGAATAGATGGAGAAGGACAAAGATTGTAAAATATTCCTTAGCACAATAGGCAGTGGTCATAATATATTTGCAGACAAACATTTATCAAGTTGATGTTAGGTATTATGGCAAGGAGGAATTTTAAGGGCTAGACTTGAAGGAGGATGATGAATTTTCTTTATGTGAGCCCCTCCCAAGCACAGCAGACAGGACAGGGGAAAGCACATCTCTGGAGAATTTATAAACATCAAAATGTCTCTTGGGCCAAGGTCACACTCCCACAAAGCAGTGTTATTGTCACACACTGTAAGGACAGACAGACCCACTCTAAGTTAAGGAGCATCCCACACTGAAGATTTACCTGGCAGTGCATTCTTGAGGCATTTAAACCCTGGCCCTGAGAGTGAACTTGCATCTGAAGGATTTGGGTAGGAAGGAAGTCAGGATTTGATCATGCACAGATGAAGATTCCTATTTAATATCCACGTCCACCTATGTCTCCCCTTGTAACAAGTACAGATCTGTTTTACAGGACATGAAATGGCCCCAGAGAAGGAAACAGGGAATATGCTTGCCAAGACACTCTTCTGTGAAAGGGCATTCCCTGTCAAAGCCGTGCTTGGATTCAGAATGGAAGATGGAAAAGTGCCCTCCAGCCTCTCCAGGCCTGCCATGAGGACTGGCACTGCAGCGAGCTGCAAGCAGCTGCTCCTCAGCCTCACCTCCTTGGACAGACCTGTGTCCCCTCCTTCCTAGCTGCTCCAAACTCCCAGCAATCACTCAGGGTCTTGAAGACATTAAAAACGGCAGCAATTTCCCCTTCCCATTCTCTTGATTAAACAGAAGGAAGGAGGTAGAAAAAAGATGAGAGACATAAAACTCCAGATGTTGTCGACACCAATATCTGGTTCCACCAGAGAATTTGAACGCTGAAGCAATGATGAATTACAGTGGGGTCCCTACAGCAATCCAGATTGCAATCATAATACCACTGAGGGAGAATAAGGGCTAGCATTCATTAGTGTGAACAGCAAATGAATTTATGACAATTTCCACTGGTACTTTCAAAGAACATGAACACATCTGTAAGAAATTAGGATGACACACCAGTGTAACTCATTCATTAATAACGTCTGAGATTGCACATTTGTTGCAAAATTTGTTGCGTGGTTTTTTTTGTTTTTTTTTCCAGTGGGTTTTAATTCTAGAAGCGTACTTTATTAAAACCATAACACAAATTTCTCTAGGAGAAGAGTTCTAGCCCATTTGCTGACCATTTTGTAGGTGATTTTATTTTTAGTTTAACTTTACTTTGGTGCAGAAACTGAACTTGTTCAGGTTTACAGTGAGTAGATATTTAGTCATTACAAAATATGTGGAAGAGAGTTAGAGTCACCCTGCTTTCTTTTTGATAATACAGCAATTAAATTGACATTAACAAAACCCCATTAAACAATCTCTCTGTGATCAAAGGGTGGAGGGAGAAATAACAATACCAGAAGAGCAAACCCTCAACAAAAAGCAAACCAAGTAACAGCATCACTAAGCTGTGATGGGATCAGAGCTGTCACAGCTGTGTGTATGGCTATGAGTGTGGACTCTCAGCTTGGCCATTTTTAAGGACAGACTCTCAGGATACAACCTGTTCAAGGGTGAGAAGAAACAAAGGCTAGCAGAATTTTAACTCAGGCAATATGAAGTGTATCTGCTGGCCATGTGTTATAAAACATGGGCTGATACCTCTCTCCTCTACTTGGCAGTAGCTGCTACTGAGCTGATGCCTCTTAGCTTCGCTCATGCATCACTGCTAAATATACCTGATAAAAATCTTGCTACTGCAAGAAACCCGAGCTGTGTATTTCTTTCTCTGCACAAACGTGCCAAATGCCTGCTGAGCCAGAAGGTCTGCATTAGGACAGAGGCATTTGCACGTGTGAGATCCACACTGTGCTGTCAAGAGCATCCCATGTTCATCTCCTGTGCCCTGTTTTGGCACCTCACAGAGCCAAATGGGACAAAATGTTGAAGCCTGGGTTCTGCAGGTGGCTCCACAAAGCATCTTCAAGTGGTACTGATGGGGAAGCTGTGCCTCCTCTGGCCACTCCATTAAGCCTGTCCATCTAAGGTTAAACACAAATAAATACTTGCAGGATTGTGGTCTTATTTATTCCATTAGAAATAAACACTTCCAAAGAATAAAGCCTGCATTGCGTATTTGATTTTTCTTCTATATATTGAGGAAAAAGTGGAGCAGAAAAGAAGTTATAAATGCTTAGCTTACACTCAACTTAGTTTTATATAACTATAAAATCAGCATTTCATAAGCTACCAGGGAAAATATGAGAAAATGCAATATTAATTTAAACCAGCAATACTTCACATTGACTACAAGCCAAACTAACAGCAAAGCTTATCCATAATTTAATGACAAAGTTGCATTATTTTTCACTGTGTTAGATTACTGTAACTGAGCAGATTTATGTACATTGCTGAGAGCCAACACAAAAACATTTGGAAGATATTCTCTGAAAATTAAGAAAACAATCTGAATCCTTCCATGTGAACCTTTAGTAATAGCTGCAAACATAGTGTTAACATGCTAGTTTTCCTACTAGTTATCAAATATCATCTCAGCTCCCAGCAGAAGGGCTGGAAGGAAGGATGACAAATAAACCAAATCACAGATTTGCTCTGTTCTAGACCAATCCCCATGGCAGATCTGGGCTGTTCTCTACCACAGCAGCCAAGACAGGAGCCCTGAGTTCAACAGCCCCTTCCTTACTGCAGGAATTGTCCCAGAGGAGTCTGCTCTCTCATCCATGCCACCTGTGGCATGATCTGCTCTACAGTTTGTAGACACTTGGACTGAGTTGCACAGAGGTGCTCAGGAGATGAAATGCCACTCAGTCCCACAGGATTCAGAAACTCCTAAATGACCTGAAATCCTTGCCTTGTTTTTAATTTCTCATGAATCTCAACAAACCTCGTGCCCAAATCTCTTTTTGGAAGTTGTTGAAACCTACAAAATTGCCATCTATAATGGGATTTCCAGCTCAAAAAAGAAAAAAAAACCCTCAAAAAACAACACCACCAAAGAACCAACAACCCACAACTTCAGCTCCTTTCCTGCTCACGTGTCTTCTTCACATGTTAGCTTCCAGGCCTGCAGTGTCACACCAGTCCTCTCTGCCACCTTTCAGGAATCAAATGCCATTGGCTTTCACAAAAAAAGACACCTTAAGAAAACACACCAGAAGCACCCAGGATGAAAAAATAAGCCAATAGAAGTGCTTAGCATTAAAAAAAGTAGCACCTCCAGACCAGGCAGAAAGAACTCTCTGGCCTTTGGCAGCACCTGGATACATCCTTTGAAGCCCATAAAATATTGTTTAATGGTACTTGAAATTCTGAGCCTTTCTAAAATGCTTCTGTCAACTGTAACTGCTTGGATGGGTCTCTATAAATCAATCCTGAAACAGCATTTTATTTTGACTTAAGAACACGTGGCTTCATTGGCATTTCAAGCTGTTCACACTCCTATTTCAGCATCTGCTCCTCGGCCATCAAAGTTTCCGGTGAAGAAGGGTAGTCCAAAGCTCAGGCTGCAGTCCAAAGCTCTGACAACAGAGTAGACAGTAAATGAACCAAAATTCTCATTGTGGACCACTGGTGTCATCTTCCTAAGTAAAAAGTCAGGTCTGGTTAACAGGGAGCTGAACTAGATATGTCCCCCACAGCTGCAGAAAAGGAGTGTACCAAGAGGTGTACTCTTCATTTCAGCCAGTAATTCCCACAACACAGCTATTTTCTTGTGCTGGGATTACTCCTCCTCCTGGTAAAACAAGAATAACATCTTTAAATACACCAAAATGCAATTTTCAAAAATTAATTAAGCTGTGAAACACTATATGACACTCACCAAGAGGCAGAAGGAAGAAATCTAAGACACTCGGCTCTGATGGATGGGAAAGAGTGTTCTCCACATTTTCTGCTGGATGAGGCTGAATTCAGACTGACAGCACACAGAGCATCAGGGATCAGACCCCAGCACTGCTTCCCTTCTCTCAAATTTTCATAAAATGGAAAGGCAGAAAAGGAACCTGCTCCATCCTTCAGCCACATGATGGACTTCACTCACTGATCTCAATATTGGTGCCAGGGTAACATTTTTTTGATTAGCACAGATGGCGAAACCATGGAGAAAATACACTATGTCAGCCACTACAACAAAAAAAAAAAAAAAAAAAAAAAAAAAAAAAAAACAACCCAAAAAAAAAAACCACCACATTGCTTATGACAAATACAAGGTGGCCTTTGAACTACAGGATGAAAGACTAAGGCTTTCAAAATCCATTTTGGGTGGGAAAACACCCCCCAAAACCTCATCAGCATTATGAAACACAGTGAGTACACAGAAAACAAATGGCAATTGGAGCACTCCTGGACCAGTCTTGGGCCTCAGCCCTCTGAAACCTTTGCCTGTGTCCACGATCAGTGTTTACTGAATTCTTCACCAATAAGAGACTTCAGCACAAACTAACTGCACGGCCACTGGGATTTTAATGCCCAATAAATTATCTGCTGTTTTGGAAAAGCCACTTATCGTATTTAATTTGACAGCCCCATGCAGGGTGAATTCCATAGACACAAAACAAATGTCAGGCCTCAAGACTAACACACATTTCCCCAGATGCAAAATACACATCAGTTGCTCTCTTAGGAGGGTGGAAAAATGTAATCCCTCTAAATTATGCAAACCAAGCAGTGAGAGCAGGCTTAAAGCCTTTGCTTTTAAGAACTAAAGCATAAACCACACTACTGCTTTATATCTGCCTTCTAATTTTTTTTGCCTTTCCATGGTCTGCAATGCAACTATTTTGAGATCTGTTCCTGAGTGCCTCCAACTGGCACTTCTTAGATGGAATTGGGTTCTCATTTCTTTTCAGGACTGCCACCTGGCCCCCCAAACTATCTTGCTCCTGTAGAAAGACTTGGACCATTGTAGATCTTTTCCAATCCAACTTTTCTTTAATTTTGCATGAAGGAAGACAGTGAGAGAGTTTTTCTTTTACTATTGTGGTCTCTCATTCAGATCTGAGTTGGAACAGAAACAGAGAAGGAACATCCACTGAACTCAAAGTGCTTTCCAGCTCTGGTTCACATCTGTTACTAATGCATTTTTATATTACTGGATAGTTTAATAAACTATTCACTGTCTGGTGAATTCGGTCCTAGCATTTCAGAACTCGATCCCTGGCTCTGACACGAACCTCTTGCAGAGGCTGATGCATTTGCGTGATTCGTTCTGCCCATTTGCAAATTGAAATAACAACACTTCCTTTTGCCATAAGCCGAGTGCAGAAGTCGGGAGGAAAAGCTGAGTAAAAAGTTGGTGCTACTGCAAAGCAGTCTGATGGGGCAGCACCCTGCTGTCACTTTGCTGTCACACGTGTCGGGACGGGAGAGCCTGGCTCTGCACAGGGTGGCACACTGAGAGAGGGAAGGAGAGAGAGCACGAGATGTTAAAATAAACTACGGGGCAGCCTTGGCCGGACCCGCTTCCCCAGAATCCAGGCAAGCGAACAGCAGCTGCCGCACATAATTAAAGGCTGCGCCGCCGCCGAATTACAGGGCTGCGTCCCTTCCTCTCGGGCACGGGTTAGGCTCCGCCAGGGGACGGAGCCACCTCGGCCGCCCTCCGCGTCCCTTCCTCCTGCTCCGTTCTGCATCCCCCTCGCTCCGCATCCCTCCCTCTGCGTTCTGCATCCATCCCGCTCCGCGTCCCTCCCTCTCCGCTCGGCGCAGGCTGAGCTCTGCGGCCCGCAGGTGGCGCGGCAGCTCCGCGGGCGCTGCGGAGCCGCGGCCGGGCGGAGGGGCGGAGGGGCGGGCGGACCCTCCGCATTGTGCGGCCGCGCCGCTGCGCCGGCGGGAGCGCCCGGGGCCGTGCCGGGCCGTGCCGTGCCGGGCCGGGCCGTGCAGTGCCGTGCTGGGCCGTGCCGTGCCGTGCCGTGCCGCCGAGCAGCGCGCACAGAGGTGAGCGCCGGGCGGGCGGAGCGCGGCTGCTCCGCGGGTGCGGGCACAAGGGGGGATGCGGAGCGGGGTTTCTCTAGGCACAAGCGGGGATGCGGAGCGGGGTTTCTCTAGGCACAAGCGGGGATGCGGAGCGGGGTTTCTCTAGGCACAAGCGGGGATGCGGAGCGGGGTTTCTCTAGGCACAAGCGGGGTTTCTCTAGGCACAAGCGGGGATGCGGTGCCCGCGGCGTGCGGAGCCGGTGGCCGCAGCCGCGGAGCCGCCCTGCGCCGGGCGGCACCTGCCCGGAGCGGTGCGGAGCGAAAGCGCCCGGAGGGATGGAGCCGGCGGCGGGGAATCGATATTTGCCCGCACGGAAATGTGAGGCGGAGCTGCGGGAGATTTCGGCGTGCCAGTCCCCGAGTATCCCGTTCGTCCTGAAAGAGTTCGTACCTCTAGCTGTCCCTGCAGATGGAGAGTGGTCTGATACTCTCCAGCAAAAGGAATCAGGAGCATTTAGATATCAGAGATTAACACCGGTACCCTTCTCGATGTAATGTGTCTTTACTTTTTCTTTTTACAAGGATTTTTTGTATAGAAAAAAGTCTTCGGCGCTTTTTTTTTTTTTTTTTTTTTTTCCCAAATAGCATGTTAGAAATGCGTTTTGCTTTAAAGTAAAGATTGCTGACATGGGAAGCATCCTACGCCACTGTTAGAATTCATGGCAAAAGCAAGTACTTCAGCTCAGCAGCAACCCCGTCACTGGGTGCATTCACACATAAAGTTCTACCCTGCTTTAAGGGGAGAGATCGAGTATTTGATGATTTAGTCAGGGCTGAGAACCATCATGATCATCACGATTGCCATGTTTTCACTTTAGAACTTAAAGCATCCCACAATGACAGGTATGGTTATAGATTTCACTGTCCAGGTTAGCTAATTCAAGGTCATGCAGCAAAACTGTGAGCATAGATATTTCCCAAAGCTCAAAGTGCAGTACCAAAAACTCTGGCATCCTGCTGCTAACCCTGTACTTTGCTGAATGTTTATGTATGAGCTGAGGCAGCTTAAAAAGGAGCGCTAGAGAACTTTCTGGGTATGGATTTGTTTAGGGCAGTGAGCAAGGTACAAGTGCTTAGAGGGTTTTAGGCAACTGCTGCTGAGTAATTAAAGCCTTTTTGGAGCTGGAGGGCTTAAGGAAAAAGTAGTTATCTGCAGGCACCGCTAGTGAGAGCTCACAGCTATTAAACATATTCTACAAAAAATAATTCCCTGCATATGATTCAAGTACAGTAAATATATGCAATTTCAGCTGAAAGAGAAAGGAAGAAACAAATAATTAGGAGCCTTGCAAGGCAGGTGCTTGCAGTTCTAAAGTACCATTTGCAATCTTACAGTGCCAGTGCGAAGCGAAGCAATAGGCAGAAAGCTGAAGGTAGGTTCTGCACAAAGAGTGCCAAATGTGTCAGTGGTGTTACTGCAGTGCTTAAAGCAGGAACATAGCATCAATTATCAGGATTATCTAAAAAGAAGGAAAAAAGGAGGGGGGCGGGCAGGGGAAGGGGAGAGCCTGGCTCCTTGCAGTGCCATCCTTGTGGTGTTCTTCCCCAGGCTCTGCATTGACGTCACAATGACACGGTGAAGCTGAAGGCAGGAGCTGGGAACAGTTCTTCTGCTTCACTTTTGATAATTGAGTGAGTTTGCCACCACTGCATTCCTTCCAGCATGGCCAAGAGTGCAGAAGTGAAGTTGGCGATCTTCGGCCGAGCTGGCGTGGGCAAGTCAGGTACGTCTGACTCCTGATTTTTTCTTCTGCTTGTCTTTGGGTAACTTTTTGCTCCCTCTGTGCAGATAAACTCTTCATAAAAAAGGACATCTCTTACCTTCTTGTCAGGGAGGTTGGGATCAGGCCAGGAATTCTCTCTTCCTTGGCTTTTCATGCTGTTTTCTCTAGGTTCTACCAAATAAAAGTGCTTTTTAAGAAAAATCCCAACAATAAACAACACCAAAACAAACTTCCCAACCCAAATTAAACCCACTTCTCATGGAGTGAGTGGCAACATTATTCTCCTCTGGTGGAACTGAATTAGTAATATTCCATTTGTCTCTTCATAGCTTGTGCTCAGTGAAGGCTTGGAATATCATGCTCCCTATCTTCTGTTAAATATTAGATGACTTCTATAATAGTTGTAATTCTGGCTGATTTCCACAGGACATTTTAGACTCAGCAACTCAAAGAAGTTTTGTTCTCAATGCTCTCCTGGATTTACATGTTTACCAGCAATCTAAGGCAGAACCACGTGTAAAGTTTGCATTTGCAGAGATCTTTTGAGAACTAAACATAGTCTGGTGAGTTCGTATGGTAGAGACACAAGGGGGAGGCATAAATTTTAAAAACCCATTTCCACAGACAGCCTTTCCTCTGGTGAGATGAGGAGCAGAGTGTGAGGCTTGCAATCTCTCTCGGGTAGTTCAGGGGTGTTGCATTAACTTGACAGTTCCATGACCACTCTGACAAGTCCTTGCACCACAGGGATGAGGAAATGAGGAGACTGAGCCCAATCATGCTCTTGAGGCAGTTTGGGAACTGTAAGATATTGTTTCTTTTAGAGAAAAAAATCTGCACAAGAGAAGGCAGGAGATAGGATGTCCTGGTAAGAGCATTAAGCCAGACTCAGCTGCCATCAACCAGCTCCAGTTCCCCAAAGTGACTTTTATATTACACATGCCAAGGTTCTGTCCTATAAATGCATTACAGCTTCAGTAACTTGGGAATGGGTTGTTTATAAAAGCACATTTACCCTGAAGGTATTTTAGCAGAACACTATCAGTGAAGTAGTTCTGTCAGCTATCAGGACAAAAGGCGCATGTGAGGCAGAAGAATCTTAGAGATTATACTGCTTATTCAAAGGCAATGCAGATTAAATTCCACCTTTTTGAATAGAATGCCTGAGGGAACGCTGATAATATACCGGGATAAGTTTAAACTCTTCCCTCTTCCCTGCTGCCCTTACCCCATCCCCTCTTATGTATTCATATTTCACTGTCCTACCTAAGTTTTGCAACTTCAGTTGTTCCCCTTTTGGTTTATCTTACATTCAGTTGATGGTTTCTGTGATTTTCCAGTCTTTTGGCTGGATTCAAAATAATGCAAGAGAACATTGAAATATTTGCAGGTAAACTGCAACACTACAAAAGTCCCCTCTCCCTGGTATTCTTAATAGTGTGAGAGCTTATATTTTAAAAATACAAAAATTACCTTTGAAGTGCTCTGTTAAAATGCTACACCAGCACAGTATCAACAAAAGCCTTTTTTACCTATTGTATCTTTTTTTGTAGACTTTAATATATACTAGGATAGTATAAATAAGTGTTACTGTAGTCCTGGAACTGGGTGGGAGACAGAAGAAACAGAAAGCCAATGAAAACATCCTAGTCCTTCGAAGCCTTCCTCCTCTCTCCTTTTTTTTCCCCTTTGAGATGCAAGGAAATGTTACATCAAATATGAATGAGGGCCCCTCTTTTGACTGTGGCCGTATTTGCCATTCTGTGTGGAAATGAAGGCACAAATAAGTGGGCAACACACCAGGGTGAATTTAATGGGGTGGAAGGGCCATGGATGGAGTGCTATCAGCTACCTGAACAGAGCAGCAACTGTGCCTTCCACAATCTCCAGCTTGCTTATGAAAACCCCTCTTGTACATTCCCATAAAAGGATCCAGTTTCAACAGCTTGGCCAACTGCAGAGAAATAAGTGTGTGTGTGTGTGTGTGAGGGGGGTGGTGTCTGAAAATACCTATTTGCCTGTAGCCAACAATAAGGAGAGTGGGAGCTGTGGAAGTGCTGTTTGTTACACCTTTGCTAGGAACAGAGCTGGACACAAAGCAGCCCCCAGACAGCTGTACCCTGCTAGAATAGTGTTGATGGTGTGTTTTTCTAGTGTTACCCTGTCCCTGTGACCAGTTTGGCATGTGCTGTGGGGACAGGATCCTGTGGTCAGAGCTTGCTGGAGCAGACTTGGCCAGACAGCTGGAAGATAAGCCAGACTCCAGAAGCAAGAGCACAAGGCAGAATGCTGGAGCACACACGCAATGAAAAGGAGACTTTGGGTGATAAATAGGGCCACTGTAATTGCCAGAAAGTCATGCCAAAATATGGTCACTGGCTTGCTTTCCTGGCTCATCTTTATTGCTGAGGAAGAGCCAGGCTTTAGGTTCTTAATCTGTAAGTGGCTGAAGCACCTGACAGTGTCTGTGGAGTTCCAGACACGCTCTGGAACGTCCTGGAGAGGCTCTTCTGCCACTGCCTGACCCAGACCTTGGGTCAGTGAGTCAAAGCAGCTGTGGAGAAAGAAGTGTTGTGCTTCAGGACGTGTGGGGAGCCAAAGTTGTCCCTCAGGCACTACAGAAGCTGTTGGAGCTGTTACCATTACTGAGAGCTGAGGAACATCCCAATCTCACCATTAATGCCAGGCATCTGTTTTAAGGGGAAAAAAAATACTTCCTGTTCTACAAAGCAGTCCCTCCCAAGACTCTCCCAGACATGAGCTGGAAATCCAGAACACTGTTCAGAAATCTGAACAGTGACAGCATGTCCAAAGAGTTAAATCCAGGGAAAACAAAATGTTACTCCGCTTTCTTGCTGCTTATCAAGTTTCCACGGTTCAAAGGTTTAAAAAACAAACAGGGGGCAGTAGCTAGTGTGAGTGTCAGCTTTTCACTGTTCTCCTTCCTTGCCGTGTCTCCTTCTGCCTGCTGGAGAAAACCAGCAGAGTGGCTTATCAACTCACCTGTCCTGTTTTGCCTTTTTAACTTAATACAGACTAAACCTTTCAAATAGAAAAAAAAAAAAAAAAGAGCAAACCAGCTCAGAAGGGGGCACACAGGAGTCCCCCCAAATCAGAGCTACACTGAGTAATGGCCAAACTCACCAGGTACAAGCCTCCCAACCTGCTCTCATACAATGCACTAGGTGCTCCTCCATTCACCCTGCTCCTGCTGTACAAAAGCTACATAATCATTGTTTTAAAACAGCTGAAGAAAACCAGATGAGGAGCTCTGCCTGAGCCAAGGAGCACTTGCAGCTGCTTCACTCGGGAAGAGGAGGAAGTGCTCTGTGGGTGGGAAGGGACATTGCTAAGACCTGCTGTAGATAACAGGGCTGTACCTCCTAATTTGGGCTGGAGTGAAGCAGCACTGAGGAGGGGAGAGAGCCTTTAGATTTCTTTATGGCCAAGAGGAGCTTGGATGGAGCAGAGAATTAAAGTTGAAGTGATTTACTTAAACACTGCTGTTTAAATTGTTCTCTCACAGAATCCTACAGCTTCATTCCTATGGTAACAAAACTGAGGATTTCCTAAATAGCTCCTTTTAAAACTACAGTGGTAGCAATTAATGAAGACTTAAAGGCCTTGTTCTTCCATGTCACCACAAGACACAGTATGTGCTCAGAAAGCTAAAGGGGAGTGAAAATGTATGAACCAAGAGGAGAAAAACAGGGCATAACACTGCATGGCTGATGCTCTTCCAACTCATAACTCAGTTGACTAAGAATGCTCAAAGAACCTCTGCTTAGGAGCCTTTCTGTTTTGGCAAAAAAAGAGACAATGTCCAGCTACAGCATGTGCTATCCAACATGTTTTTTTGCTGTGTGTGTGCCAGGCTGAACACTCCAAGTTTCTGGGTTAGCAGGGCTGGTTTGCCCAACCCCTGGCAAATGCAGTTCTCATCTGTCTGGATGGATTGTGCAGCTGAGGAATGGGACATGGAAGTGTGTGTGGGTTCCACTGTGGGTTCAGCAACGGGGAAGATACTGAGGATTTCCCCCAATAAATGCATCAGCTTCTAAGCAAATCATTGCTTGTGCAATCAAGGTATGTGAGGCAGAGGGCTGTTGTCACTTTTTGATCTAGCAACAGCTTGGATGCTTCCTTTTGGGCAAAAGGGTGACCAGAAAAGTGGTTTCAGTGAGTGTCACCTCACAAAGAGCCTGTGCCATCACAGAAATGAAGATCTCAGCTACTCCAGTCATTTTAGAGTCACAGTTGGGAAAGTCCTGAGCAGACATATTTGCATCTGTTGGCTTATGCTATTTTCCCATGTCTAAGCCAGGATGGGGGAACATAGCCGGGAGAAAGATACCTGGTTTTGAAAGTTCCTACAGAAAAATTCAAGTAGCAGCCAAACCAGAGGGTCCTTCAACAAATCTGTATTTTGTTTTCATTATTTGGGGATATGTCTGAAACACACTACCAGGGATCACTTCCCAATTGCATGGTCTGGGCGTGTGGGAAATAGAACTGCATTCATTGTCACCCCAACCCCCATTTAAAAAAACCTGTGGGTTACTGGGAAAGAAGCCCAAAGTGATTTTTCTACTACACAAATCCCTGCTCATATATTTTCCCTCACTAGCTGCATTTCAGGGGCTTTTGCAGAGGAAACATGAGTTATTAAGGAGTGATTAGTTATCAAGCTCACAGCTCTGCTAGTAAGGCAGGGAAAGCTGCCACAAGATCTTCAAAGTCCAAGCTGTACCAACTGATGTATGGATTACTGTAATAAGGTGCCTCTGAAATCCAGAAATGTGGGTGGAAAGAGACTGGATTTTCTGTTATGGGTTTTATTTTTGCTTGCCTTTTTTTTTTATTTTACTTACACTAGTATAGTAGGTCAGCTGCCTTTTTTTCCCTGTGTTCTTAGGAATGGCAATGACAACCAGATGCTTAAGTGATTATTCAGTGATCTTTAACACCCGCTATATTAATTTTGTTATTTTTCAAAATTT